ATTGTTCTCATCATCCTTCGAATTCAAACTTCCCTCTCTCATGTTGTGCTCCCTTGTCCCCTCATCCACTCCTCTGTAATCTTCTTCTCATACCGTGCTTTCCCTTCCCCCACCCCCCCAAGAAAAAAAAAAAAGAAAAGGAAAGAGGATGCAACTTATAGAACGCATAAGAAAAGTTGGACAAGGTAAGATAAGGGGATAAAAGATTGGATAAGATTGGGTAAGATGGAGAGGTTGCAGAACATTGTTGGCACATCAGTGAAGGGAGTTGAATCAGGTATCTCTGCCTAAGTAGAGAGTACAATGTAGATCCTGGGATATCCCAAACATAAGGACGATGAGGATTTGTTGGCGGGGGGGGGGGGTACAAAAAAAGGACGATGAGGATGAAGAAGGCTGAAGATTGCCGACTGCTGCATGGATAAGGTAGGGATAAGGCAGGGATAAGGCTGTGGGCCCGGAGCGACGAGGAAAAAAAGAGCAGTGAAAAAAAGAGCAGTAAAAAAAAAAAAGCAGTAAAAAAACAGCAGAGTAAAAAATAGCAGTAAAAAACAGGTCAGACGGAAAGAGGCAGAGTAGAGGCTACAAGAATGGAGAACACACAAAAGGATGGAAGTTCATGGAACTAATGGTTACACACTGAAAGTTGGAGAGAGAAGATGGAAAACAATGGAAGTTGGAAAGGGTTATGATGGATGACACATACTAGTGTGGATGGCTGACACATAGTAGTGTGGATGGCTGAAGATTGGATAAGATTGGATAAGACTTTTAAGGTTAGCGAAGAGAAGCATGAGAAACGCTCCGATCTGTGCAGTAATATTACTCTGCGCGACCTAATATCTAAACAGAGTGGATAAGACTTTTAAGGGTAGCGAAGTGGATTTCTTAAGGACAATACGTATTGTTAGCTTTTTCCCCCAGAGTGTGGATGAGGATACGTATTTTCCAGTGAAAAGAAGAAAAATGGCGGAATTGAGAAATTTTCTCTTTCGTCTTTCTTTATCGTCGCCTTGTCCCATTTTGGCAGTTTTGCCAATCTAAAGCACCTTGGTTCTTCATTTCAAGTCACACACACACACACACACACACACAGAGAGAGAGAGAGAGAGAGAGAGAGAGAGAGAGAGAGAGAGGGCCAAGCCATGTGCAAGAGCGCAGACAAGCACACGATTCGGGAAAGAAAGGAGACTCTCAACCCCCCACTCTGAGAATTTGAACCTGGTCTGTTCCTGCGATCTGATCGGTTACTTGGTAGTTCGGATAAGTACACAGCCATTTCTTCAGAAGTGGATTATATACTCATGCCGATCTATGACTTATTACAATGTAGATGATATATATATATATCGTCACAATATATATCGTCACAAACAGAACTGCCCGGTAAACCGTAGGCAGAGAGAGAGAAGAAGACAACAAACGAGGGGCTTTGACAAACTGTTTCGTCGGAGTTTCACCGACTCATCAGGAGGCTGAATATATGACGATATATATATATATATATATATATAGCTTTATGATAGATGCTAAACGGATATATGGGCACGCTACTCCCATAGCGAATTTAGGTCTGTTCTGTTAAGTGGCAACTGTTTCATGTCCTTCGGGACATCCGTTAAAATTGGAACTATACAGAGAAGGAAGATTAGCATGGCTCCTGCGCAATTGGATGACACGCATAAATCGAGAAATGGGGAAACTGTTTCATAATTTACATTTCTTGCGACAAAAACCCACCAAAGCGTGTCCCCATTTTTTTCTGGGGCAAGGGTCCACTTTACGTGGATGAAGACGTGTTAGCCGTTAACATTCATAATATACAGCCGCTATTTCCGATTACCTGCAAATGGGACTTTGTCACTGAAGAGTCTGGTGTCGAGGAGGAGGGGGAAGGGGAAGGGGAAGGGGAAGGGGGAAAGCACAAAGGAAGTAACCGAAGTAACTGTGACGATGGCCATCTCGACGCATGCCACATCATTAGCCATAGCTATTGCCATTCACTGTTCTCCTCTCTATCATCTCCCTGTGTTCGACTTCAACAGATGAGCATTATCTCTATTGCGGCGAGAAGAAAGTAACACCAGAAAAAATACTTCGTTACAAGGAAGGTAAATAGATAAGCAACGTGCCAGTGCGGACAGCTGACAATCAATTTCGCCATCGATGGAGCGAAAAGAGAGAGTGGGAAGATGGTAAAGGTTGAAAAAACGAGGACGACAATTACAATTACTGTGGCCAACAGACGCGGCTGAAATCTCTCTCTCTCTCTCTCTCTCTCTCTCTCTCTCTCTCTCTCTCTCTCTCTCTCGCACGCGCGCGCGCGGGGTGTGGACAAACA